GCTCAATAAAGCTGCTCATTAAAAAAGATGAGTTCACAACACCGGTTTGCATAGTTCAGACAGTGCATACACTGTCTGAAGATACATATTAGAGATATTTCTAGTTGTATATATGAATAAGGATAGCGTTAATTCAGTGAGAGAATGTGTTCACCACACTGGGGTACATGGAATACACTATGTAAAGACATGTATTAAAAATATTTCAAACAGTGGAGGGAAAAGATTTGAGAACTCCATAAAATGTCCCATTTGTTGGGGGAATGGCCTTCATATATTCAAACATAATTCTGATAATTTCCTATGGCATTTGACTCAAATCAGTAATGACGTCTTCATGACTTTGCTTCTTATCCTTTCTTTACAGAGATGTGTTACTGGAGTTTGACACATTTTGCTTTGAAATGTATTTCTCAGTAGAGGGTGAGTCTTAACATTGAATCCCTGCAGGCACCTGCTCAGCTGGGGATTGGCTGACTGACTACCTGGGCCTGCTTTGTGCAGCTCACTGGTCTTTATGGGTTGATCTTACCCTGCATTTTCTGGCCTAACACTTCTCCCTTCTGAAATCATGAACTTAAATGTATGGTCAAAAGTACTGAAGGGGATCATCGAGGAGTCATCCCTCAGCCTACATGAAACCTGTTGCTTCACTTAAATAATCAATGTCTTCCCTTCGACGAAACCTGCAATGAAGAACCAGCCAGAGCTTCTCTCCTGTGGTGCTCAGAACATGGAACTATGGAACTGGAAGGGTCCTTAGAGGCCTTGTGCAACTCTGTTTTTACATTTGAGGAAACAGGCCCAAGAGGTAAAATGTAAGGAAATCACCAGGTGCTGTGCGAGATAAGACTAAACCCCCTAACGCATGGCTTGTTCCAGTTTTCATTGCCTATGAAAACTGAAAAGAAAACAAACCCCCGACTGTTCATCTCCCCTGTCTCCTCAAAACCAACCATCTATTTCTAAAATTAAGTTGTAGCTGTTTATGAGACACAGAGCAGGGCAGCCCATTCCCATCACTGAGGAAATATGACCCTCCAGGCAGGGAAGAAATTGCTCTGAGGGGTAGAAGGAGCCCAGGTACTCCCTTCACTCCTCAGGGCCCAGCCCACAAGCTCTGCCTTCACAAGTGCCAGAGGCTGGAAGAGCGCTCTCTCCCTCCTGACATAACCTAGTTGCTGCTTCCCTGCTGGCCTAGGCACTCAGCATTCCCCGTGCCAGCTCTGGCTCCCGCCCAGGCCCTCTGTGAGGTGGAGCCAATCCCCAGACTCCCTTGTCCCAGGAACTGGTCCAGAAAGGCCTTAGCAGTCAGCAAGGAGGAGCGCCATACCACGGCCTGGGGGGTCTGGCTGCCTGGGTGGGCGGCCAGGAACCTCCTCTGGTGAGCCCTGTCCCAGTTCCGCAAGGAAAGGACAAAAAAGGGAAAGGACAGGTTAGTGTGGCTCTGAGGTGGCGATGAGGGTGGGATGGGAGTGGGGTTTGAGAAACGGCTTGCTCTGGCTTACGCCTCCTGGGACCGGGGGAATTCTGAGTGCCACATGCCTTATTCTTCAATTCAGCCAAAGATTAAGCTGCTGGGATTCTGGAACCACTCACACTGTGGACGCCTGGGAACCCGCATGCCAGCAGGTGAAGCTGGAACTGGGACAATGGGGGCCAGTCTAGGCGATGTCTCTTCTTCGCAAGGAAGCTTTGCAAGGCTTCTCCACGAAGCCTTTTTCTTCTCCGAGAAAGGCTTATTCCCTTTCTCGGGAGCAGCAGTGCCTAGTGTGTCCCGTGATGGCGTCTCTTGTACCTTTGGGATTTATTCTTAGGATTTCCAGGACAGGCTTGTCAATTCTTTGGTTTATGTGTGGTAGCTCCACCTGACCAGTTTTCAAAGGGTAGGCAGAACACGCGGGAGCCTGCCTCTCCCTGCAGCAGGCCTCTGTGTCCCCAGACACAGGTTCACCCTGTGGCCTTTGAGGCCCCACCAATGAGTCACCACCAAGGGCAGGGTGATACTCACTCGCTACAAGCTTATACTTTCATATGTTGTAGCGATATTTCTCCAAACTGAGAATTCCCAGATGCCCATATATGCCTGCAGACCCCTAGGGCATGCCCAGGCCTAGTTAGAGAAACAGATTAAGTAAGTTAAATTCTTTTCTCTCATTAGAGTTGGTCCATCTGCATGAGTGACGTTGTAAACACAAAGAGAAACTCAAACCCTGAAGCCAGAAGGCGTCATCTGGCTATAAGGTAGTCATCCTCACATGATTCAGACGGTACTGACGTTGATTTTTATAGAACTCATGGACTCTTCCCCCTCCAGCTCACCCACCCCAGAACTCTCGGGGATTCCTAGATGACATTTTGAGGAACAGGGTTATAGAGCAGTCTTTCCTCTAACAAGCAAGACCTCACTCTAAGGAAAGAGCAGGAGGTGGGCCTGGTCTGGGTTGTAGCCCCTATAGCAGGGTCAGACTAACTAAGGGAAACCCACTGACCACAGGGTTCTGAGTTGGGAGGGCCTTGGCAACCTTCTTCAAGGCCATTTGATTTGTAACTCTTGTCAATATCCCAGTCCATTACCGAACAGCCCCTGCTAATGCAATGTCTTGGCAGCCAGATGGCTGATCTAGAATTTTCACGGATTAGTTTTGCTCTTGACGTCTGGGACCGTGTTAAATTAAAAACAAAACAAAATAAAACAAAAAAAAAAGCCCGAAAGATATTGGGGCAGAGGGCGTGCAGGCCTGATTTGAGCTTGCTTTTTATATATAAATGAATACAAGAAGTCCATTGGAGCAGCCAGTGAGTGTACTGATTTGCTTCTGAAAAAAGTACAGATGGGGAAGATGGGAGTTTGGAGGAGATGCACAGATGGAGCAGTCTTTTCATTTTGATTTGTCACTGAGCAGAGACCTGGAGCTGCTGAGGGTGTCAAGGCCAGCACAGGCAGACGTACAGAGGGAAAGAGTGACGCAGACACACGCAGGCACAGCCGGCAGGGAATGTGTTCCTGCAGGGTGCATACATGGAGGACACGTACCAGGGTGGGGGGGAACTTCAGCACGAGTCCCTGGTGTTCCCCCTGGGGACAGAGCTGAGTGCTCAGGGATGGCTGAGATTCCAGATGACAGACAAGCTGCTCCTGCCAACCCCCCACCCCCTCGAAGAATGAGTCCTGTCTCCGCCTTGGATTTGCTCAGCCAGGCATTGCTCTCTGGTTTGTGCAGGGCTAGGTCAGTGGAGTGATTTTGTACTTTTGCTTGTTTGGAAATCAGTTTTCTTTCAGGTGCCACTGACACGGAGGCATGCCCATGCTAACCTTGTTTTTGTGGGTTCTCCTTATTGAAAATTTTGTACAGAGTGCTGAGCAAAATGCCCATCTGCTAGCCTGTCACATTTTTTTTCAGCGCAAACAGCCTCTTTTTGGGTTACTACATTGTCATGTAAAGTATTTAAAATTTGTGAGTTTTTCATTTGGTTGACAGAATTCTACAATTAGTTGAATTTATATGCCCGTGTGTTGAAATGTATACACAGGGTTGGTTTTGGCTTCATTTAGAGGAATGGTGGGTTACCCGTGTCTAGGGCTAGCCCGGCTCCCCCTGGCTACTACTGATAAATGAGATACACCCGGCTGGCCTTGCAGTAGAGAGAGCTCCTTGGCTGCCTCCGTGGGGAAGCCTGAGGCCGTGGAAGATGTTTTAGTCTACACTCTATTGTTGCTCTTGCTGAGACCTGCTGGTGGAAGAGCTGATCTTCTCCGAGCAGAACAAGGAGGATGCAGGTCCTGTAGAGACTCAGGAACTGTCATAACTCAGCCTTCCTTTGCTGCCACCGCTGTGTGCTGTGGCCTGTGGGCTGTGGAGAACCTGCAATCTTCTTCGGCTGGGGATCCCGCCTTCTTCTCTGCTGTGTCTCAGATGGGCAGAAGACAGTTCCACCCATTCTATTTGGTTCTCAGTTCTCTGGATAGGCCCCCCTGCTCAGTGGAAAAAGAACCAGCCCTCAAACTAGAACACGGTCCTTAATCAGATGAGCACAACAAGGCAGGCATTGAGGACTCTGTATGTGAAAATTCATTCAGCTACTGCTGAGGTGTTTGCTGTCTACTAGAAGGCCAAGAAGGGGAGCTGTCTGCCTGTAGTTTCTACCAGCTCTACTCGAATTACTGACGACTTCCCCAGCCCAGATGTGCACAGGGCATCACTGTTAGTCCTCCAGTGTATGAGAAGGCACTAGGCTAGGCTTGTCAAAAATGGAGAACAGTGGATGACTTAACTCTTCCCCATTCCTCCCTGGACATCCTTCCTATGAACTAATTCTGAGTGCTGGTAGCTGAAGAACTTAACTGAATGGTTTGCACTGATGTTGACATGGGAGCCAGTTGAGGCTAAACAGCCACTGTAGATTTGTTTCACATGTTCCCAGAAACCACCACTTGATGCTCCTGCTAGAGATCATGGGGTAGCATAAACCAGAGGGCTGAGCTAATGTGGTATTTTACAAAAAAGTGTCACAGGACAGGAGGTAATGCAGGAAGAGCATGTCTCTTAATGTGGTGTCCTCCAGGCAACATTATAAGATAATATATTATCCTGATGGTTGTTAAGATTCTGATGAAAAGATAGCAGGAGGCCCTGACTGGTGTGGCTTAGTGGGTTGGGTGTCATCCTGCAAAGCAAAAGGTCACCAGTTCAATTCCTGGTCAAGGCACATGGCTGGGTTGCAGGCCAGGTCCCCAGGTGGAGGCATGTGAGAGACAACCAATCGATGTTTCTCTCCCTCTCTCTCCCTCCCTTCCCTTCTTTTCCATAAGCTAACTCCCCCTTGACCAGGGGCACAGGCCCCACCTGGTTTCCCCTGGGGCTACTTCCCCTCAGGGTCTAAGTGCAGAGGTTTTACTCTTCATTTTCTTCTTCCTTTAAATCCCATTATTCTTAACACTGTATATACCTCCAAGGAATTTTATTTTTCAATCACAATTCCAAAACCTCTTATTGGAGGGGTAGTTTCAATTTATTAATGAACCAGAGAAAACAGCACAAAATGACTATGAAAGGCCAAGACAGACAGACAGGGGTTCATTTTTGCCTGACTCTGCTGTGCATGCCAGAGCAAACCCTCCCCATGTCTCATGGCTTGTGCCCCCTGGGTGAGGGAAGGCCAGTCCTGCAGGTGGAGCACAGTTCAGCTTCTGCGTGATGGGTGGGAAACTCTACTTGCCCGCTGGAGGATCATAAATCTGTACATCTGAGATCTAAAAGATGACAGCTCTTGAAAAACATTTTCCCAATTGCCGCTATATTTTTTCATGTCTTTAGATTTCATTTTTAATTTGTTTGAAATAGCACATCTAGAGACAGATTGTAAACCCAGCCCACCACAGACTACTGTTCTGTTCCTTGCTGCTTAATAGTCTAGATTCAGACTGATCCCTCTTATACTCTGAAGAGAAAATAAGACCCTACATTAGTATTTTCAAAAGCGTGACCATACATTGTTTCATTTGATCCTCACAGCAGCCCTGGGAGGCAGGCGGGTGGGCATACCATGGTTCCAGGATCCAGAAACTGGAGTCGTAATTGGTGGAGCTGGGAACCAAACCCATGTCCTCTGACTCCTGGTCCAGGGCGGCTCCTTCCACTCCACAAGATGAACTGAGCTCTCCTTGAAGAGCAGGGCAGCCTTTCTGCTTAGAATAGATGAAATGTCCTTTGGGCTTGCAAACAAAGGTGACTTTAAGTACAGACCTCATCAGCAAGCTCAAGGAATAAATACCTGAGCTCAATTCGGCATCAACATCGGAGGAATGAAAAGGACAGAACACGGGTGTGTCTTTGACAAGGGTTTCTTCCTGTTTTCTTGATTCTCACCTAGATCACATTGGGTGCTGTAACATGAATGCAGCAAAGTCCAGGAGGAGGGAAGGTATTCAAAGGACGTTCTCATCAAGCAATTTATGGATTCCTTCACAAATCCTCTTGAGGTTGGGTCTACAGTCTCCATCCAGACTATAAAGGGTAGAGAGGAACTCCACATCAGCAAAGTGGTTGAAGACGTGGTTGATGCGCCCGTGGGTCCTGGGTGTCAGGTGTCGCTGTACCAGTTCATGCACCAGGTCCTTGCACTCGTGTAGGAGCTTGGAGAGCACGTTCCTATCAAAGGTGAATTCCACCTCATAGAAGCTGATGATGGTCATGGCGGTCTGGTTCAGCTTCTTCCTGAACTTCTCCACAATAACAACCTCCTCCTGGTTGAACTGGTTGTTTCTGTAGAGGATCCCGATTTTGATTGCCACCTTGATTAAGTCTTTCATGATCTTGTGGGCTTCCTTCTTGTTGTGGGTGTGCTCTTTGGTGACTTTGTAGAGCTCATCAAAGATCTCACTGCTGGTGTCATCAATCAACATGTTGGCCACGGTTTTGCTGGCTATTTTGCTCAGAATCTTCTTCTGGGCTTGGATGGCGAGGCTCTTCGAGCTAAAAACATCAGGACCTATGGTAAGGAAGAAATGAAAGTTATGGCAATATGAGAACAATTTATTATTTTTTCTACAAGTGAAACACAGTAATTTGAGCTTAAGTTCTTAGAGCAAAAACTCATACTTTTATAGCCCATACTCCCTAACTAAACCCCACCCACACCTGGTTGCTACACTGCCTTGTCCACATGACATGTTTGTTTGCTCTCTTGAACCTTCTAAATTGAGCTCTTCCCTCTCTGGAAGTGCCCTCCCCTTGTCTTGGCCAAATCTCACCTTTTTTAGACCCATTCCATGCATACAGCTTACAGCCTTCCAGACTCTATTAGATCACAGAGGACTCCCTATAATGGAAACCATTCAGTTTTGCAAATTACACAGGAGGAGAGTTATTGCTTAATGACAAGAATGTAGTCTTTTTTTGACCGAGTTTCAGAATCCATACTTCATGGAGTCTAAGATGTATATTTTTCCAGTTTGATATCTCGGAAACCGAGGTGCATCTTACAATCATTGTTGCCAGGAGAGAGTTGTGCTATAGTTGTCGTTACCTGTGTGCACATCAGTTTACACAACAGGAGCCAGAGATTTGGGGGAAAAGTCAAGAGCACTTTTGTAAGAAATATTGCCTCACCAGTGCTCCCGGTGGCATAGAAAACCGCACTGTGTGGGAAATTAGACACCGACAGCTCCAAGTCAAAGGTGCTTCAATTGGTAACACCTTGAATGTGAAGAAGCGTAGAAAAACTACAGCCAATTTATTTCCCTGTTATTTTCCACTTTACAAATGAAAAAAGAGCCATACATGTTAAAAATAATACTATGCCTAAGTCTAAAAAAGGATGTTTCAATAAATATAAAATAAAAATTCTAAGTAATAAGAAAGCAATCACAATTTAATTGGCAGCATCTTTTTCTCTCTTAAGAACACATAAAACAGCATTTTACAATCAATGGTGTCTTAGATCTGATGAAATACCCCAGGAAGTCACCAATTAGCTGGAGCTGACATTTGAAATTAAACCCCCTGGTCAGCCTTACTCGACAGTTTTTATGTGTACTATTATTATCTTCCCAAGGAGATGCAGGTTGCCTGAGGACAGAGGCAGTGTCGCACCTAGCTCAGTTCTGGGCACAGGGATAGGATGGTGTCTGTTGTAAAGCGCCAGAGAAATACTGCAGAAGAATAAGAAGGGAGTAAAATACAGCGCAAATGTACACTTAAAAAAAGCAAAAAACACGAAGAAATTTTCCTTTGGGAGTTGAAGGTCCTCTAGGATCTTAGGGCTTTTGCCCAAGGCTCTGTGGCCATGTGGAAGTGACGTGTGACAGGCAGAGTGGATGGCCAGCCAGCCCCACTCCCCAGCTTCTGCAGTCCCTTTCTGCCCCCCGCCCCCATGTCATGTCCCACCCCCTCTGTCCACTCCGGACTCATTCCCTCAGTGGACAGCGATTAATCCCTGGACACTCAGGTCTTAATAAACACTCAAACACAATTTAGACACAGGCCCCAGAGCGCCCTCCACCCGCACGGCTCCTCACGGGCGGGCCCCGCCTCGCTCCCTCAGCCCGGGGTCCTTCACAGCTGCTTTAGCTCTCGGGCCCCTCCCTGCTGCAGGCCCCCAGTGGCACCTCCTGGAGTGCGGCCACTGCAGTGGAAGGAGCAGAACCGGAGTAGTGGGTGCCGGGGCCTCTCACAGCCCCAGGAAACTCTCTCTCTCCAGTTTGAGACAATAGAATCTTCAAGCAACTCACAGCCAAGTATCCCTGACCTGGCCAGGATTTTCCCGTCAGCCTCAGTGCAAAGGGAGTATCTTTTGACTCTTGACCATGAGAAAGCCCAACTTCCTGATTTATACTTTTCCAGAGTTTGAGACACATTCCGGCCTCGTCTCATCATCCACTACGGTCACCAGACCTTTGTGTGAATAACCTTTGTTCCAAAAACATCAATTTGTCCTCCAAAGGCAAATATTTACAGGCATTTAGGATGTGCTAAAGATTGCGCTGTATCTTTGAAGTCAGTTCCACAGGGGAAGCATAAAGACGTCCATGCAATGGCCCTGCTCCAGTTGCAGTAAGCGCATGCCTCCTCGCAGGGGCGCTCTGCTGGGAACAATGAAATCTAGAGAGACCTGTTCTGGAATAACGAAAAATGAGTCATTTCTTTGGAGAAACAGTTCCTAAAAATTGCCTGAGAATCAAGTCCTTCAAGAGGCTGTCCAGAAATGCAACAAACATGCATTTCCACAGAAGCAACACGGCAACTAAATAGGTGTTCACTAACGTGAGCTCTGCGGGAGCAGGGACACATGTCTAGGCCCCACTGTCCGTCCAGAGCCTAGCCCATCGGCCACACGTGGCAGCTACCGGAAGACTGAAGGGAGCACTGGCTCTGCAGCAGGCGCTGCGTGGTTTTTAACCCTAAGAGCTGGGTGAAGCCGTATTTTTACGAAGGCTTCCCTGCCAGCCTGATTCCAAGCCCCCACGTCTCGCCCCCGGCATTCCCAGCGTTGTTCTCTAGACGTGGCCGCCACCCCTTTTGCTCATATATGCCCCATACGAATTTTGAAAAACTACAAACCCCTTTGCATATTATTTTAACTTGACAGCAAGTATTTCTTCACCTCATGGTTAAATAGTTCTATTTATAAATAGATATAATTTCAAGATAGTGTAAATACTGATATTTTAAAATTAACCTTTTAGGTTATTCTGTTCTATGTGTCCATTATAACAAACATTGTAACAGTGCAAAAAACACACATTACTGGCCATTTAAAAAAGCTGGTGGGATGCCATTTTGGGACCAAATTCTTTTTGTCCTTTGGTTTCTCTGCAATTATTGAACATGTACTGTTTGTTCAGCTTTGTATGAAGTGCTACAGGGGATATCCTCCCAAAATATTTAACTGGGTGCTACTTTGAATATGGTCCCGCAGGGAGGTATGATATAGACAAATGAAACAAAATAGAGAACCATGAAATAGCCTAAACTGGTATGAGTGACAACAGCTGGGGGAAGTTCTGTGGGCTCCGGAGGTGAACTTGAACGTGGGTCGGTGGGGATGGCTACAGTGTTAGGAGGTGGTTTCTAAAGGCATGGAAACAGGCCAGTGATTTTCCCCAAGTCACACAGGCCCTCCTACGTTTTCAGCCTCTCTCTTGCATAAACATGTGTTATTTCTCTCCAAAGGGATTTGGGTACAAGTTTTTTGATGAGGGCCCAGCAGGGTCACAGGTATAGCACATCTGAAGCCTGAAAGATCAAAATCATAAGGAAAGCTTTAAGAAAAAAACAGCAAACGACAATAAGCAAGTTCCCCCCTCTACCCTAGACTGCCGGTACTAACATCTTCAGGCAGACAGCCAGTAGTCAGCAGCCCCCTTCAGTGCTTCTTGCATGCTGATTACAGGACCCGCTGATTGCGATGTGCCCCGCCGCGCGTCCTTTGGAATACTCTCCCATTAGATGCTCCTGGAAAGAAGGCTCCATGGTCACTGAGTTTGTAGATGACTATATATTGTGACTGGCTTTTGATGATTCGCCATACCTGGTAGCTTATTAAAGGTCTTGAGATGTTCTGCAGTAAAGATATCTGTGTAGTTTTATTTAGCCTGCCACTTCTCAAATGTACCGGGCCTTAGGGAAAAAATGAGAGAGAGAGAGAGAGAGAGAGAGAGAGAGAGAGAGAGAGAGAGAGAGAGTGTGTGTGTGTGTGAGAGAGAGAGAGAGAGAGAGAGAGAGAGAGATCTTAGGGAAAAAATGAGAGAGAGAGAGAGAGAGAGAGAGAGTGTGTGTGTGTGTGTGTGTGTGTGTGTGTGTGTGTGAGAGAGAGAGAGAGAGAGAGAGATCTCCATACAGCAATATCCCATGGTATACATTACTGGAAATGTAACGGAAGGACTGACAGAAGTAACCTGAAGACATCACTCTAGACAACTTTTATAGCTCCCAAGGATCTGTTGGGGAGGAGTGGGGAGACACTGCTGTTTCTAACATACATGCATGATTTAAGGAGCGTGTCTGCCCTGTGGGAGAGCTGGGAGGGGCGGTCCTATTCAAAAGACTTTTTGCACATGGAAACCTTGGGCTTGTTTCCTACCATCCTCTGCCTCAGCTTCCTGCAGAGGGACCATGTTGGTGACCTGCCCCCAGGAGCAACACCGCAGGCTGAGAGGAAGAGTGTGAACTTTAGGAGCCAAGGTCAGGAGGGAGTGCACTTGAGGTATCTGGGGAGACAGGCCTAACTAGTGGGCACCAGTTTGTTTTGTGGAAACACCATGAGATCTAGAATAGGTCTTGGCAAAAACTTCTTAAGCCTGTGTACAAGGATTCAGAAGACTCTTTTTGCCAGGGATGATTCTCTTAACCATATTTGAACAAAAGTTCCTATTCCCTAGCCATAAAAAGCAATGGATTGTTTACAGTACCTCAGGATCTCTGAGAATGGAGATTAAAAACATGATTATGCAGTATTATACACCTCACCTGACAAGCACAATGAGACAAGACTGAGGAAGCTGCAAAATTCATCCTTGTAGAAACAAACAGGGACTTCCTTAAACCAAGACTGACGGAGGAGCTCAAGTGAAAGAATTACAACGTCAGTGTTCTGAGAATAAGCACCCTTAGAACACTCACAAGCAAAGGAAAAGTACCAGAACTATGTTGGGAGAATGGCATAATAATGGTTGTGAACTAGTTTGGCGCAAGAAAGCAAAACATAACGTAAGTGGCCGTTTTCCCTGCATGGGAAAGGGCGGGGGCCAGTCTGAGTTGATGTTTCTATAAATGACATTCTGCCATAGTACAAGTGATGTATGTTTTTACATTTCTAGAAAACATTGAGCTCTCCCAGATGGTGAAATGCCAACCTGGGAGGGATAAACAGCAGGAAGCTGGGTGAGTGGGTAGCAAAGAGGCAGATGAGCTTCAACATGGTAATAACAAGGTAATACATTTGGGGGAAAATAAAGTAAATGATGGGTAGGAAAGATGATGGTCCCTGAG